GTGCCTTCGACCCACAAATTTTACGAAAGGAAACTCACCTCAAAAAGTTGAATCCACGAATAAGCCTCTGACCGCAGATCGCTAAAACTCTCACGCTATCAATCACAATTACTCATTCCATAAATGACTGGGTCCCGACTTGCACTAAGAGTCCAATACAGGGTAAAATACCTTTTTACCCTTTCCCTAGCTAGGCCCAAAACCAAGGCCCAATCCAATGGACCCAAAAGCCCAAAGTCTAAAATAATCATTGAAACCCATTTATGACCCAATTTTCCCAATCCATTTCACGGGCCTTCTCCCAAAAGTTCAACAAAGTCTCATTGGCCCTACCATAAAATTTTGATGGCCCAATAACCTGAAACCCAACCTGCTAGTGACGAGAGCCCAACATGGCCCAAAACTGGCCCAAAACACTTCTCACGTCGTGACCAGTCCTCAGTCACGTCGTGGGGTCTCACTCGGTCAAATACCACTCATCCCGACTCCACCTAGCCAACTCACTCAAGGAAAAGTCAAAAAGATGACCTCATGTCGTGAGAGGCCCGTCTCACGTCGTGAGCCTCAAACAACTGACCAAAAACGGGACCAATACATTCCTCACGTCGTGAGGACAGTCTGAAGCTAAAAATCCAACTTTTTAGTCCTTAATCCATTAAGCCATCGACCCTAACTTTCCAGAGGGTCTTATAACTCCTTAATATACCATAAAGTCGGTGCTTTTAAGACATATATGTCTAATATATGTCTATATCTCATTTAAGCCAAAAATCGAAGAAAATGCATCCAACTTTCATTTCATGCTTCAAAACTCAACCATTTCCTAGATCTATACTTCAAGGCATCCCTAAGGTCCTCATAACTCATAAAGTTGCCAACTTTACGGTTTCTATCCACTCAACAAGCTTGACCAATAAGAAATGTGGGACAAAAGCTTAGATTTGGCCTTATATAATCATAAAGGTAGAAGCTTTATCACTTACAATGGTCCAGAAACAATGTAAGGTGATGTTGATGATGATTCCTTGCAAGACACAACACATGACCACCTTATTATTCTTCTTTCCTCCTTATTCCAATCCAAGAAAAGCTCCAAAACCACCAAAGATCAAGCAAGTATGGACACTAGGGTTTTTCTAAGGTGAAGGAGGGTTTGAGGCTGATAAGAAACCCTAAAATGGGGTTAGAGATGCTTAAATACGAAGGAAACCCTAAAATGACCATGGGCTTGCGTTGCAGCATTGCTCACATCGTGAGCTTGGTCCTGGACAGAAATCTTCATCCAACCCTCCTCACGTCGTGAGGATCCTTTTCCTCCAAAAATTCAACCTTTGACTCTTTGAACCTCGAATCGATTCATCCAGGAAAACGGGTGTTACAAAACCAATGATATATAAGGACTCTATCCCAGACTATCTTCATGCATATTTAATTATCTATATAGCAAAAAATTAATATAATAGAAAATTAGCAAGCACAACTCTCTCTATCCCAAACTATTTTCATGCATATTTGATTATTTATATAGCAAAAAAATAATATGATAGAAAATTAGCAAGCACAACTCTCTCTATCCCAAACTATTTTCATGAATATTTAATTATTTATATAGCAAAAAAATAATATAATAGAAAATTAGCAAGCACAACTCGTAGGCAACCCATGTGTTTATATCTCTTATTTTACAACTTGATAATTCAAACTTAGAAACCCTAAAAATTACCATCATAACAATGTCGACCCGACTTCATTCCCCCCTAACAGAATAAATAATGGCTTCATGTGTTTAAAAGAACCCATCGTTCCTGAATCTAGATACTCTTAGAATGAAACGATTTGATTATTGAGGTGGGTTTGTATTCTCGTTTCTTTATCAGATTTACAATTTATGTTTTGTCTATTTTTTTTATAAAGATTTAAACAAGTGACAATTTATTATGTGCTTGCACAATGACACTTGAACTTTTTAAAACAAAGTTAATACATGGTAGATATTTCGATCATATTGTCTTTTGCATTGCGGTAATTACTTAAGATGACATGTGAAACATGGTTAAATGCATATAATAAAAATGGTTTAATGTAGTAGTACTTAGTACTCAATACTCGTGTAACATCCCAAATACGATGAATTTTTTTTTTCATTTTAATAAAACATTTTTATAAAACCATAAGATAATCAACCATTGTTTTCAAATAAAATCCATACAAAATCAGAGTATCAACAATCTCTTGAAACATAGAATAACATGAGGATGTGTTCAATCATGCATTCGTTTTGCCCCGAACATCGTAAGTACCTGAAAACATTGAAATCAATAACTATAAGTCAGAGCTTAGTGAGTTCCCCCAAAATACCCCACACGACAATACATATACAATGCATGCACATCCGCCCCACAATATAGCATTGGATTGCCCCCGGGCCCAGACTCATCCGACTGGATTGCCCTCAGGCCCACAATCCTCATACTGGATTTCCCCCAACCCACAACACACGACTGGATTGCCCCAGGTTTGTTGGCTTGCTGCACAAAGTCGTACCGCCTCAACCCTACCACATTATGTCGACATATGCAAACAATAGCCAACAATACATGTAATCATGTAAATCTACAAATCTAACAGTTCACTACAATATACCAACATCCTACATACATGGACACATATTACAATACAAAGTATAGTGAGAAAACTCACCTTGCATACTAGCAGACAAACAACACAACTCTCGCAAGTCCAAAATTGGTACTATAGGTCACCTATTCAATAACCAGGAACCAGGTTCTTAAACTAGGATCCAAAATCCACTAGCTGACTTAAAGTGAAATTTGGTCAAAAGTCAACGATCAACCTCTAGTCGACCTACGCTCAATGTAGCATGTAGCTCACGCTCAACGTAGAGCTCAAGGTGGCAAAATGGGTATATTCAGAGTTACGCTCAGTGTAGGGCAAATTAAGCTCATCGTAGCCACCTAATGTCCATCTTTTTATTAAGCTCTTAAATTAGAAGTTTAGCTCCTCAAACTTTCATATCTATATCAAATGGATTCCTTAATGGATAAAGTTTGTGACTTTATCCATTTGAATGGTCTCAAAGAGCACAAAACCAAAACCTAGATCCATAAAGCCACCCATTGCTCAAAAGCTCATGCATGGATGGATGAGTGTGACCAAGCTCTTATTTTTATGACTTAATAACCCTTAAAACAGATGAAAATGGTACTCAAATGGTCTGGAGTAGCTCATACTCATAAAGACCAAGGTTATAGGGATAAAAGCATGTAAATCTCAAGAGTAACTAGATCTATCATGAAACATCACCAATGTAGGAACTTTATACCTTATGGAGGAGGATTACAAGATGAAAATTCCAAATCTACATGCTTGGAGTTTCCCAAATGCTTCCCCAAAGTGGTTCTTCCTTCAACAATGCACACAAAACCCTCACAGGTCACAAAACTCTTACAAGATGGCTAAATTTTTAAGGTGACTGCTTAGGAGGGTGGAAGGTGAGAATGGAGATGGCCTCAAGGGGTTAGAGCCTTTAAGTAAGGCTCACAACCCCAACGATTAGGGTTTTGGTGTTCTGCACCTATGCTCGGCGTAGCTTAACCTACGCTTAACGTAGGTCACTAAATCCCCGCATCCAAACTCCCTCCTATGCTCAACGTAGGGGACTATCCTACGCTCAACGTAGGGTAGAATTCTTGAAATTAAAATTCAAACATAATAATAATAATAATACATGTAAAAATCGGGTGTTACAACTTGATGAATATTCTAGTTGTATATAGACAATATTATTTCAGGTAGACTCGAATAAAAAATAAATCATTAATATGTCACTCATCAACATCAAATAGATATAGAAACTTTAGATTAATTGGTTGATTATTTGAAATGGGTCAATGGAGTCCATTTTACTTGATCTTTTCATGTAAGGTGTAATATTTTTTGGTTAGCTTTATGCTATTTTTACATATAAAATTGTTTGCTTGTTCCAAAAAAATAGTATATTTTTATAATTTTCAATATAAACTCATACCTTGAGAACATTTTTTTTATAGAAAGTTAACTAACTAAATTTCATATAATATCACCAACTGAATATAATTGAATCAATTATGTTGAATAGCTAAACCTAAAAATTAAATGAAACAAAATTTTTGATTCTCAATTATACCTAGATGGAATCATGCGCGCCCGTTGGCGCTGACTCATTTTTTTTTTGTTCTTTCAGCTTGTATATGTACTACAACATACCATTATATTGATGAACATATATTTAACATACAATACATTTTTGGATAGGTCTTATATAGAAATTTAGGAAAGGAAGTAGTTGAACACAACAACATATCAAAAGATTATAAAACAAACAAACATATTACACGTAGGGATGTTTGTCTTCAGGGAGGTTTTTGATATCTTTTTTTAACATTGTTGATAAGTTCCTCATATTTCTTTTCCATTTCCTGCATGGCCTTCAACATTTTGAAGTCTCATAGTTGTTGTCCAACAGCAGCTTCTGCATTTTCAGGTAGTTTTCATATGATGGTTTGGAGTCCATCTTTGTCATGAGTTCCTTCTTTTACTTTTGGTGTTCCCAACATTCATCCTGCATGTTTTTGAGTGATAGTTTTTCAGCTTCATAGTGAGCAATGAGGTTGGTTAGGATGCTTTCCATTTGTTGCGGCTTCATTTTTGTTGTGTAACTTGTATCTGGATTGTGGATGGTGGTGGTTTGGAAATGTTGAAGGGAGACAATGGTTTTTAAATATAGAATTTTGTATTTAATATGGTTGTTGGGTGTTTAATGTAACTGTTAGTTTTCGATAAGATAATGACGCATGATGTAACGTATGGCCGTCGTTTCAGATCGTTGATGATCTACTTTGTGCATGTATTGTAGTGCCGTTTTAGTATAATAGGAGAACATTTATAAAAACGTACATTAAAGCCATAATTTTTTTTCATAAAAGCATAATAACTTAAAGTTACATCGTTAAAACATTACATGCGTCATAACATAAAAATTTGAAGTAAACATTTACTTCACCAGAAGATGGAAGATTATCTGGGACTTTCTTTAGTGTTGTGATGGTGTCCTTAATCTCTTCTTCCAATGTGACGAGTATGTTGCTTGCTTTTGTGTTGAAAGCGTCTTCGGTGTCCAATATTTGTGCTGAGATTGCGTAGTTGAGAAAGTTTGGCGTTTCCGTTAATGTTTTTGCTAGAGTTTCTTGGATAGCTTTGGCTGCTCTAATGTTGCGTTTTAGTGTACAAATAGTTTTCGTCATTTGTTTTTTCTGATGGAGGATTGTGTTTATCATGTGTTCAACTTCGCAGCCTTTCATGGTGTGGTGGGAATTTTATTTTTGCAAGTTTTGTATGGACTGTGGTTGTGTTTGTTGTCTAATATCGGATTTATAGTGGTTTTTTAATTAATGTTTTTATGTTAGCTTATGTGAGTGTAAACCGTGTGAACCTGACATCAGTAGCTGCGCCTCTATCTATGTTGACAATAAGAACTCAAATGGCAACTTCGT